GGTGTTACTCGTACTTCCATGTGCAGTTACAACAGCTCTGGAGCTGCTTCGCAAGCCAAGTGTATGTTTTGGCTGTTAACGGCTCTTAAATACGATTTATTTCCCGAGAGAATTTGGAATATTCTTTTCGTCATTCGAAAGTGGTGTTTGAACTCATATGGCAAATATCTGGGAATCTGGAACGGTCCGCTCAAAATAATACTACGCTTGAAACAGCTCACACAATAATCTCACTGATATCACCGTCGAAATCGTCATCTAGCTCTAGTACGAGCAACAGTGATCAAACTCGTTTTGCGAGTGGAATGGAATGAGACTGTCCGGACGCGTCGCGATCCATTCGACACCAAGAAATTTTCGAACCTCAGCCCGGAAATTTTGGTTGAATGGATTGCGCCCACAGTGTTCATGCAAAGATATAACTTAAGAGGCCTCTACTTGTAGCGAAATGACTCGATTTAGCGCTCTTGTTCCACTTGATCCTCTTGTTCCACCCATGCAAATGGTCGCCCTATTCTAACATAGTCCGCATACTCCACCCAGTGAGTTCACGTGGCGTCATCAAATTCTCAAATTTATCAAAAACTAAAGAGCCCCTAAAGGTTTTATCCTCATCAGTCATAAGAGGTACTAAATTTATATATGTTTACAACTTTCCAGCTCAACAGCGTCCTTCGTTTGGAGAATTTTATAAGCACCCCATCCAACATGATACAAGAAAGTTTACTTACAATTCACGCAAATCACTTCAAGCTCTCGGTCGGAAGAAACCCACGCACAAGAGTCTCCAAAGATGTTATTACAAGCACTGCACTGAAACACAACAGGCAAATTTTCCTCTGTTTTCAACTTATCCACCGCGGTGACATCAGACTCCTCGAGCGAATTTACCGCCATTTTCTTTCGACAGACGAGATCAGCGGTCGGTACGTCATGTAAAACAATAATAAAGCTGATCGTAGCTACTTTCTACTGGTTCTTACATGACAATAATCTCAAAATGAGACTTCGCCAAAGTCTGAAAAAACATGTGGAAAGTATAGTAATTTTCACTAGTCATTCGCTCAAAGAAAAACAGAAAAAAAAAGAAAGTAAACGGCATGAATGAAACTTGGAGAGATGCAGTGTTACTAGCTTTGAGTCATGCGTGCAGCCAAGATCCTTCGCTCATAAAGGAAGCCGAGGGAAAGCTCAAGGCGTGGGAGACCGAACCAGGTTTCTACAGCCTTCTCATGGTAAGGTTGCAACTTAAGCTTGCTTAGTAATTTTATATGACAATTAGTGGCGTTTTTTTCTTTTATTACTTTGAAAGACAAGGGTAATCGTTCATATTAAGTTCTGAAAAGCCCAGTTTAGGAGCTTCTAATTGCAACCAGATAGCCAAGAGCGAAGAAAAAAAGTTACTGTTACCGATCCCCTTTCCCTAGGGACCAGAGGGATAAGACGGAGGGGTGAGGGGTGAGGAGTTGGGACCTGGAGAATTCCACCATAGGGTTTGCCATATGAGGAATATGAACGATGATGGATCCGGGGGGATGCCCATATCAAAAGGGGTGTGAGCTTATATCGCTTAGGGGTATAAAGTCAAGGATTTTGGTCTCGCTAGGGGTGTTCATGATGAAAACCACTATTTTTAGTTGTCAAAGTATCTTTTTAGGGTGCACTCCAAGAAATTAACATAAAAAAGGCTCTTATTTCCATTTTAGGCTCAATTTCTGTAGGTCTCTCAAGTCTGGTCCAGTAGCGCAGGCTAATTTGCTTAACAGCGGCTGGTAATCGGGCCCATTCCATTTCAAGTGGTATCTTTTAGGGGTCAAATTAAGCCAGAGCCATGCCCAAATTCAAATTTTCTGAAGAGCATCCATGACCTTTTCATATGGGAGTCCCTCCTGGAATAGATCTTTTAGGGGTTCAAAATTTGTGGCTTTGTATCATTGGTGGGAAAACTGGACTTAATCTATTGAACAATAATTTGTACATTGTACATGTACATTCTCTTTCTCTTTTTCTTACAGGTAATTTTTAAAAATGAGGCAGTTGATGTGAACATTCGCTGGATGGCAATTTTGTATATCAAGAATGGAGTGGAACGCTACTGGAGAAAATCAGCCCCTAAGTAAGTGCCACTGCTTGAAGTTATATTTAACAGAAAATTACTCTGAAGGTCTTTTGGTTGAGGGACTAGGTGAACCTAGCTAGGAGTAAAAGCTATTTGGATTTCAAGAGCACTGCTGTAAGTGTAGATCTTTCCATTATCTTTGTTTTCAAGTCTTAATATCTCGATTTAGCCAAGCCTAAAAGCGGAGCTCTTCATTACAATAAGTTAACCAGGTTTGAGCCTGTCATCCAATCGAAAATCAGTACCTGGACAGTGGTCAACTTCAAGAAAACATGTGACCTCAATGAGCTCTAGACCTGAGCCCATGAAGTCAGCCGATACCTTGTACTGACAGNAGGTCTCTCAAGTCTGGTCCAGTAGCGCAGGCTAATTTGCTTAACAGCGGCTGGTAATCGGGCCCATTCCATTTCAAGTGGTATCTTTTAGGGGTCAAATTAAGCCAGAGCCATGCCCAAATTCAAATTTTCTGAAGAGCATCCATGACCTTTTCATATGGGAGTCCCTCCTGGAATAGATCTTTTAGGGGTTCAAAATTTGTGGCTTTGTATCATTGGTGGGAAAACTGGACTTAATCTATTGAACAATAATTTGTACATTGTACATGTACATTCTCTTTCTCTTTTTCTTACAGGTAATTTTTAAAAATGAGGCAGTTGATGTGAACATTCGCTGGATGGCAATTTTGTATATCAAGAATGGAGTGGAACGCTACTGGAGAAAATCAGCCCCTAAGTAAGTGCCACTGCTTGAAGTTATATTTAACAGAAGATTATTCTGAAGGTCTTTTGGTTGAGGGACTAGGTGAACCTAGCTAGGAGTAAAAGCTATTTGGATTTCAAAAGCAGTGCTGTACGTGTAGATCTTTCCATTATCTTTGTTTTCAAGTCTTAGATTTAGCCAAGCCTAAAAGCAGAGCTCTTCATTACAATAAGTTAACCAGGCTTGAGCCTGTCATCCAATCGAAAATCAGTACCTGGACAGTGGTCAACTTCAAGAAAACATGTGACCTCAATGAGCTCTAGACCTGAGCCCATGAAGTCAGCCGATACCTTGTACTGACAGGTGTCAGCTGACCATAACATGGATGTTGAATATTAAAGATGTACATTGTGAACCAATGCTGCATGCTGTAATTGACCTATAGGCCGGAGTAAGGCTGCCTTGTTGCATGACATCATCATCATTTTCATTGTCATTGTCATAGGGCGTACGTGCCCGTGATCCATGCTGTTAGCCATGTTGACCATGAAAAAAGAGTTGCATGGTTTTCT